TTAAGTGTTGTTAACACTATTAATCTACCAGTCTTTTACCTATAAAATGGAAGTAGGACACAAACTTCAACCAAGATTTTTACTTCTTAGCTTTTACAGCAGTGTTTTTGGTACCAGGGATTGAATCCAGGGGCACTTAACCACTGAACCTTATCCCTAGCCCTTTTTATTTTCATTTTGAGACAGGGCCTGAGACAGGGCCTCGTTAACTTGCTGAGATTGGCTTTGAACTTGCGATTCTCCTGCCTCAGCCTCTCAAGCCACAGGGATTACAGGTGTGCACAACCCAGCATAAAGCAGTTTTCTTTATAGCAAAGTACAAGAAAGCAGAAAGACACTTCCTGGCATTCATCTCATTGTATATGTAATTAATTGCGTGTGTTGGATATTGAAAATCCATGGCAAGAGTTCTATTCAGCTTCCATTTAATGGGTAACATTAGTCTGATGTTTCCAACAAGATGAAGTGAATTAAATTGCCTTTAATTAAAACATGCTTCTTGGCTATCTGAATTAGGGGATATAGAGGGAATTTAAAGGCTAGTGTAACTTTTCCTTAGCAGTGAATTTCTTTCATTTTGTTTTGTTTGCTCTGATTTTTCACTTGACATTTTTCGGTTTGTTTGTCACATGTGTATGTTTTCCAGGAAGGGGAAGTTATTTAGAAATTAATGCAGTACAAACCCTCTTGATAAAAGGAAAGTGTGCTATTCATGCAAATACATTTTAATAGTTCTGAATTATATAAATGTAAATGATATAAAGGATGAAGTTTCAGTATGCATATAGCTAACTTCTTGTGAAGTCATACTGGTATATTACTTGTAACTTATCATTGGTATATAAATTATCATGTAATCATGTTCCCATTTTACTTTGTAATTTGAACTAACACATTTTTATCTTTAGAAAGCTATTATCCAATCCTACTGGTCTCCAGGATGACAGCTGCAAAAGTATTTCACTCTCAAAGTAACCAACTAAACTTTTACTTTCTGCGAAATTCATTTCACCCTTCTGTGTTTTTTTAAAAATTTTAAGTAGCTAGCTTTAGTGTCTATCTAAGCAGTCACAATAGTATGTAAACTTAGTGTTTGATTAAAATTGGAATCTTTAAACTACTCTTGAGCTTTGTTTTATCAAATCAGCCTGTGATTGCTTATGTATTCTGTTTCTCTGTCTTTCTATAAGGCTGTCTTCCAACAATGACATATTTTCTTGAACACTTGATCCTTTGGTGACCTCATAAGTACCTTGTAACCTGCTTGCAATTTTAAACAAATTGTATATGTGATCAGACTTACTCCATGAGTTCTCAAAACAGGTTTGAATACAGGGCATACCTTGAACCAACTGAATGTCTTCAGACAACATTTTGACTGATCCTTATCTTTAATTGTAGAGAGAGATTCCTAAAATAAAATATACATTTATTGAGAACCTGTGTGTACTAGGAGAGAAAGTAAGCTAGGCATTTTTACATGTGTTCTTTTGTTGCAGTAATCAAGTCTTAGTTCATTTAAGAGAACCTTTAAAAATATATATTTCTTACTATCTGTTGGGTCAAAAATCACTGGTAACAATAAAAAGATTAGTTTTTAATCTTGAAGTTATTTTGAGAAAGAGACTACTAACTACTTCTAAGAATTTGTATATCAGTTATTTTAAATTTATCTTGAAAGTTTTAAAAAGAGATAATTTGAAAACTCACTAGATTTTGAAGGTCTACTTTGAAAATATCTCTGTTCTCTAGTTCTGATAGCCTAGTTCTTTTTATTAGTCCTGATTTCATCTGGCAGAAAGAACAATTTGAGAATAAAAATCTTGGAAGACAAGCATAAGTACTCTTTCTTTCTTTTTTTTGTGAGTGTTTATTTCTTTTTTTTAAATTAGTTGCTCATGACAATACAATGATCTTGACATATCATACATTTGATTCAAATGGGGTATGAGAATAAGTACTCTTTTGTTTAAAATAAAAGAATTTTCATGCACAGAAAGAAGCCTTGGGTTCACAGATAATTCATGTTCTACGTAGCTGTGCTACTGAAGAAAATAACTATGCTGGAATGGTGGGGCAATTGTGGTATTTAAAAGACTCACAAAAGTGTGAGCACTAAGAAAATATATGCCAGGTAATTGTTAAAGAGTTTTGAAAGTTATTTATAAAAGTTATGTGGCTCTGTTGCATTTCTGTATTGATTAATATTCTAAGTGATTCCTTATGTATTATATATGGGTCCTGCTTGGAAGGTGATTGGTTGTTTGTTTTTGACTTATTTAGATCCTACTCAAATGGGAGGCCTGAGCATGCTGCTGTTAGCTGGAGAACATGCTCTTGGCACACCAGAGGTAAGCCAGTCCCTCATTCCTTTCCACCCTGCTCATGCTGGGGCTTAGGATCACAGACATTTGTATTCAGTTCACATTGTTATTTCTGCAGTTCACTGCTTACAGCTCATGAGCAAACTTTACTTATAATTGTTTTCACTACGATCTGTCTGTGCATCTGGTGATTTGAGAGTAACAGAAGTGGTGTTAATAAACCAAGAGGACACAAACACAAGTCTAGTGGAGATTTTGCGGGTCTGTGAATCTAAAAGTAAAAAATGCAATGTACAGTTAGTTGGCCTTTGCTGTGACTATGTCATGTGTATGTACATTGTGTCTTACAATTCATTTATTCTCTTCAAAACTTTTCTGCTGTTTTGATGTTCTCATTTGGACTTCCTAGTAGAAAAATGATTATTAAAAATATGAAATTATTCTTCTCTCTAGTACCTGAATTATCTATTTTAAAAATCTGACAACATAGCTTTCCAGAATTGTTTCATTTTTAAGAAGGAAAGGACGGACCCTTGTGAGCTTGGTTTCACAGTCTAGTTATTGAGCTTCTCTTGCTAGACATTTATGGGTGTGATTTTGATGGGCACATAGTAACAGTTAACCACACATAGTTTGCATTTGTAGAATCTTTTATTTTCCAGACACTCTTAACAGAAGCCAGTCAGATTAACCTGCTGGTCATGTTATTTTAAAACACTTGGGTTCTTGAGATAAAAATTTTCAGTCCTCATCCAGAATATCTATATAGGGCAAAATAGCTTGTTGCCTCAATTTTATCACAGATCTATACTTTTAACATATTTTTTTTTAAATTTTGAGAATGCTATATAGATTATAGTGAAAGCCTATTCAACTGTATAGGCTGCTTATAAATGAGACTATTGTTATTTATAGTTTATATTTGGGATCTACAGTTGTTGACTATCTGTTTAGTTTAAATTATTTTGATTCTGTTCAATTTAGTATATTAAAAATGTATATATTTGTTGTATTCTTTAACTGGGGGGGGGCATTTGTGCTACTTGGTACCTTTGCAAACCCATTATTCAGCATGTTTGTACTTCCTAACACAGTGACATTGTCAGACATCATTTCACTTGCCCCTCCACGTGATATTATCTAATGGCAAATCAGGTAAACTCTCATTTAGGTATAGTGTATTCCAAGCATGTTCCAGAGATGAGTGTTGGAATAACAACACACACTTGACCTTTCAACACAGCTGCACTCGTGATTTCCAAGAGTGCTTTGCATTGGGAAGTCAGCATCATCTCTCCTAACAGATTATATGAGGATGCTAGTTTTTATTCCCAACATCTTTTAACATTATTTCTTACTTTTTAGTGCAAGTATAAATCAACATTTGTAGAATTTCTGGATGATAATCAAAGAAAGGGATACTTTTAACCAAACCCTTTGCTTAAAGTTGTGCCTCATAGGGTCTTTTTAGTGAGAAGTTCTCCTATTCCCTTTTAAAGCATAGAACATCAAAAAAAGCACTGTAAGTAATGCAGTGGTAGATCTTTTATCTCTGATGTGGAAACATTTTGAGAATTCTCAAGCTAAAAGAAGCAAAGTTAAATGACTTATCAAACTAAGGGGAAAAGCAGATTTTAAACAACACAGCTCTGTCTTCATATTCCTTACCCCTCACCTCAGAGATATGTGGGTTATTAGTGAAAATAATCTTGACAGATTAGAACAATAAAGCAGTAAAAAAATACAATCTGGTATCTTTGTAAATATCATTAGTTTGAGAGTTTACTTCATAGATATCAGTAGACTTCCCTTAGACTTTTTAAAGTATAAAATTAATATAGGTAATAGATTTACTTTTACTTTAACTGAAACAATAAAGTCCCAAATTAAAAGATTGTGTTTTTTTGTTTTGTTTGGCTTGACCTATCTTAATGCTCTTAGAGTTTTTAGAGAGAAATTTCAATTTCTTGAGAGATCAGTAGGCAAATAATAGTAATGTTTGAATTTTCTCTTTTTCCTCATCTTAATCTTTCATAATCAATTTGTGGCTTTACTAGGTCAACATTTTTTTAGTGCCTCTTTACTAAGCTGAGGTGGCTTTTATAGTCTCAGCTGTGGTAACTTTGTGTCTAATAAATAAAAAGGGTGAATTTTGATTTATAGTTTCTTTTATTTTTCACACATTTTCTTTATAATTTACTATAATTCGTTAAATATTTTTTATACCTGCAGTATAATGAATGCATAAACTATTAGAGATAAATTTTTAGAAACAATGTGTTTATATAATTTATTAATTAAAAAATTGATATGTTGAGCAAGACAAACATAAAGAAAAGTGATTTCTGGCTCAAAATGGTAGACTACTAAGTAAGTCTTTACTGACAAGAATAACTTCAAGAGGAAAAGTTTATTTTTTTACTCATGGTATCAGAGGTACCAGTTCATGGCCATCAAACTTCATTGCTCTGGGCCCAAGATGAGGCAGCATGTCGTGGCAAAAAGCCATGGTGAAGGGAAGCTGCTCTCCCCACGGTGGGCCAAAAACAGAAAACTTGGTGGTAGTGGTGGGGGGGCATAGAGAAGATATACCCTTCCAGGGCACATTCTCAGTGACTACCTCCTCCAGTCATACCCCACCTACCTACAGTCACCACTCAGTCCATTCAAACTAAGACGGACTGATTATGTATGTTATAGATCTCATAACCTAATCATTTGTCTCTGAATATTTCTGCATTAACAGGTGCTTTTGAGGAACACCTCATATCTAAACCACAACACCATATAGAATGTAAGCATAGCAGTCTCATTAGAAAATAACCACATAGCAGTGAAATAAATAGCAAGGAATGTTTCCAATGTTATAAATTTAGTCAGAAACCAAGTAAAGTTGTTTAATGAAAATAATGAGATCCAGATAAATAGGTAGGAGGGAGCTACAGAGGAGATAAGAGGCAGTCTCATTAGAATGCCCTGAAATTTAAAGGAATATATACTTTTTAGAAAAAATAAGTGTGCAAAAGACAAGTAGAATAAATAAAAATAATAATGTTCATATTGAACTGAGAAGACCTAGTAAGAAGGCAGTTTGCTTCATGTCAGGGAATTATCTAAAGGTGAAAATACAGCACTCGGAATGCAACTCACCTTGAGTGGCAAGGCCCAGGTTCTACCTCTACTGTAAAGGGAGAGAGGAGGGCTACTAATGAAAATACAGTAAATAAAATGGAAGTATTTGATCTGGAATTGCCGGAAGTCACCTTTAAGACTAAGAATATTCTCTTATATTTGTTAGTTACCTTAATAAAAATGCAAAACTAAATTACATTTTTAAAAATAAGGCAGGGAGTGATAGAATTTAGAGGGTATATAAAGGGCAGTTATTCAGCATCTAACATATAAACAAGAATGTGAGGTGTCCACCAAAAGTTCACTTGAGACAATCCAAAAAGGATTGGAGAAGGAATGATTGGGTTATGAGAGCTTTACCCCAGTCAATGAATTAATCACCTGATGGGATTAACTGAGTGGTAACTGAAGGCAGGTAGGGTATGGCTGGAGGAGGTGGGGCATTGGGAGCAGGCCCTTTGGGGTATATATATTTGTATCTGGCAAGTTGGAGTCTCTCTCTCTGCTTTCTGACCATCATGTGGGTTGTTTTCCATACTCTTCCACCATGATGATCTGCCTCACCTTGAGACCCAACTATCCATGAACTGGAGGCCTCTGAAACCATAAGCCCCCAAATAAACTTTTCCTCCTCTAAAATTATTCTCATTAGGTCTTTTAGTTACAGCAGTGAAAAAGCTGACTAAAATAGTGGGCTAATGTTAGAAAAAATGATATTGGCATTGAACCTTATTGAACGACAGAAAGATGTCTTAACTAGAAAAGAAAGAAGAATGGTTGGGAAAAACTGGAAAATAAGATAAGTTAGGTGGCATAATCATAACTGATGGTGAAGTTTTGAAGACATCAGTATTTACTCAGTTGAAAAACTAAAGCCAGACTTTCCAATGTTTGCAAACTGCCTCAGACCTCAGGGCTGTGATTTCAGAATACTAGCTTTTTCTATTGGAACAAATAGGATAGTAAAGTTTTGATCAGGCCAGTTTTTGTTTTGTTTTCCATTCTGTGAAATGGAGCTAATAATACCTGCTTCCCTTTACTCCCAAAACTACTATGAAGATTAACTAAATAAAACCTGTAAGGTAGGTTTTTTCCTGGAAAGAATTTTTGTAAGTATAGTATTATTACCTTAAGTTATTCTGGGTATTTCACACTTGACTTGGAAGTTTGAATTATATTAGGCATTATTCCCACAGGTTGTAATATACTTTACAGTTTATGCTTGTGCGTGTACACACACACACACACACACACACACACACACACTCACCCTTATTTGTCCATTGAAACCTTATAAGAATTTACAGTTGTAATTTACTCTTTATCATCAAGTACTCAAGAAGGAGACAACTTTTTAATACCTGGGGGAAATCAATATAGGAAGTAATGACTTAAGCAGAGTAGCTGAATTAGCATCAAATTAGTGGATAAGGTTCCATCAGGTGATGGGCTTGCCTCCTATAAATCCCTGTGGGGAAAGTTCATGTTACATGAGAATTGAACAGTGTAAAACTGAGTGCTGTCTTTGCATACATTGATATGAAAAGTGTTTATTGAAAGTTATGGATGTGCATCTACCAAGTGGCAGAACTGAGATTTGAGCCCAGGAGAACTAGACAGTCTTCCTGTAGTATACTGGGTCCTTTGTGATTCAGTCCCCACCTACCCAAACTGTGCCACTTCTGTGATGGCCCATGCTCTGAACTCTTTAGTTACTAGCAGCCAGAGCAGGGGCATTTCATGGGTGCTCTCAGGGCTAGGTTTAGTGTACCAAGCACTTCACAGTGATTATTTCATTTCATTTTCCCCAGAACCCTATGCTTTCAGTTTATTTTTGTCCTCATTCTCCAAGATCATAGAAAAAGCAATTCATAATACGAGAATTTAATCCCACA